GCTCCTCCCAGCAGATGTCAGGGTAGTTTAGGTCCCCCATGACAACCACATCCCTAGACTGTACGGCCTCTGAGAGCTGCCTCAAGAATTCCAAGTCTAGCTTTTTCTCTTGGTGTGGTGGTCTGTAGCAGACCCCACCACCGAGTCCCTTTCCCCACAACCTCCATGTATCCTAACCCACAATGCCTCAGCTTTCTCCTCCTCTGATCCCATTTTGATTAGGGTAGATGTATAATGCTCCTTTACATAGAGAGCCACCCCGTCCCCTTTCCTCCCTACTCTGTCCCTTCTATACAACCTGTAGCCCTCAGTGTGTACCTCCCAGTCATGGGTAGCATCCTACTTGTTTTCCATTAACCCCACTAAATTGAAGTTATTATTTGCAACCAGAAGTGTGAGTTCTTCCTGCTTGTTCCCTATGCTCCTAGCATTAATGTAGAGGCACTTGAACCCTCTGAATAGTGCCTTTGGTGCCCCCCCATTCTGATGCCCAAAGGGCCCCTTGGTACTTACCTCAGGTGTACTGCTGCATATCTTGTAGTTTGTAGGTTCTAGACTCTCTCCAGCTCCTGCGTTCCCATCCCCCATCGTACATAGTTTAAAGCTCAATGTAGGAGGTCAGCCAACCTGTAAGAAAAGAAACTTTTACCTCTTGCGGAGAGATAAAGCCCATCCCTTGCATGGAAGTGCAGATCATGGTCCAGGAAGCCAAAACCAGCAAGGTGCAACTCTGAAGCCGCAGGTTGACTTCTCTGACAGAGGTGACATGACGCCAACTGTGACCGCTGACTGGGAGGATCGACGAGAAGACCACCTGCACCCCCATCTTCCTAAGCCTGGTCCCCAGAGCCTTGTAGTCACTCATGATACTGTCTGAATTACTCCTGGCTGCATCATTTGTGCCCACATGGATGAGGACCATGGGATAGTTGTCGCAGGGCCAGATGAGGTCAGGAAGTCTTGCCGTGATGTCCCTGATCCTGGCTCCGGGCAGGCAGCAGACCTCACGTGCCATGGGATCCGGATGACAGATGGGTCCCTCTGTTCCTCTCAGCAAGGAGTCGTCCACAGCGATGACAAAGCATCTCTTCTTCTGCTTACCCAGCCGGCCCTCAGCTCACTCAGTGATGCTGGCAGGCCCCTCCAGTGCACTTTCCCCCACTGCACACTCCTCCAGTGCAGCCAGGGCCTCATATTTGTTCCCCAGCTGCACCAGGGGAGCTGTCTCTGCAGCGAGAGGTCTGGCCCCTGAGGTGACTGCCCTCCACTCACCAGCATCTGCTTCAGGGCGCTCCCTCGCAGGTTATCTGCCAGGTGTTTTGTCTTGCAGAGAATGAAAGTAGCCATCAGTCTCTTCCTCAATTGCCTTGATCCCCTGCAGCCTGCTCACCTCTGCCTGGAGTTCCCTCACCTGCCCCTCTAGGGCCTCAATCCAGGTACATGTGGGGCGAGCAAGGGAACCCCTGGCCCCCACGCTGCCCCCAGGCCTCAGAGGTCCCTCCAGGCAACCCCTGAAGACAGGGAGCCAGGGCACTGCTGACCCTCCACGGGGCCTGTCTGGGTGGAGGCCCCACGGGAGCTCCGAGCCAGAGGCAGCAGCAGGGCAGGGGCCCTGGCTGCACTCCGTGTCACCACCCCCGTAGTAGCCCCGCTCCTCATTCACTTACCTGAAGTCTCTGTCAGAAGCTCCCGTGTACTCCTGCCCACGACTGGCCTGTGAACTGCCTGCAAACTGCTCCCCTGTTGGCAGTCCCTATTTGCTGGCTCCCTGGTCACAGGCTGATTAAATCAGATCACCTCTGACCTGTTTTTACAGTGGATCAATAACCTGTCATGAAGCCAGAGAGAAATACCATTAGATAGGGGTGTGTGAAACGGCCCTATTTGTCCGACTCAGATTGGGTCCAAATCAGGGACAGTATTCGATTAATTGATTCAGATCACTGACCCCGATTTGATTCCGCCAAATCTGAATCTGAAGGATCGATGCTGATTTGGAGAATCAGTGATTTAGACAGACACAGCTTTAAATGTTTTTTCTACATACCTTGAAGTACCAGGCGTGGCTCATGATCACTGCCATGCTGGGGCCCATGGAGTGTCCCACAGGACTATGGGGGGCCCTCCATGTTCTTCGTAGCAACCCGGAAGTGGACTGGAAGTACTTCTGGCTGACTTCCGGGTCTGCCAGGAACCCCGGGTGCCCCCCTAGACCCAGGAGGCGCCAGTCACTGAGCCGGGGGGCAGGCCCCAGCATGCTCCTCCATGGACCCGGGAGTGGACCAGAAGCACTTCTGGCCCATTTCCAGCCAGGCCTGCTGCTGAGTGCACTGAGGAGCCCCCCCACTTATGCGCCCCAGCATCGCAGCACTTATGAGCTCCTGCTACCTAGACAGATGTAGAAAAAACATTTAAAGCTTTGTCTAGGTCTGTATCACTGAATCTTTCCAAATCTCTCCAAATCAATTTGGAGGGCTCTGATTTGATTCAGAGAGATTAAAGGGTCCTCTGGTTCAATTTGGATTTGGAGATTCAGCCGCTGAATTAGTCCGAATCTCTGTCAAATCGAATCAGAGACCAAAGCTTCACACAGCCCTACTATTTGATTCAATATTCTGGCTGGTTGTAGTCATTGCAAAAGGTGTGGACAATGGTGCCAGTACAGCCTTGTAAGTTCTATCCCCTATTCCTAACTCATCACTAAAAAGAGGCAGTGTTTAATCAACCTGAATACCTTTGATAATAACCTGTGTTTTGCAGGCAGTGTGTTGGCTCTCACAACACATACAGGAGCCACAGATGCTGAACAGTTAAATGGTGCAAACCAGCTGCATGAGACGTTGGGGTAGTCAGCTCAAAAAAAGGTCATGCTGAATGAAGTAGCATTGTTTGAGGATCTTGTACAGGTTAACAGAACATTCATATAGTAAAGCATAAGGAGAAAATGGCCTGGGGTTTATTTAAAACACATGACATGCCCAGGTACCCCACTAGTTGTTTCCTTCTGCTGCATGATGAACATCATTATGGTCTTCAGGACGTGGAAAAGGTGTTTGGTGAGATAAATTATTGTGGTCTTTGTCAGACATTGTCCAGTCATAACCACACGTGCAGGTTCTGGTGCTGCCTCTCTCTAAGCCCAGGGTATGCAGGCAACATGGGTGTGGCACAGAGGTGTCCTAGCTGTAAACTGGTTTGATGGTCCAAAGAATGCTTAGACAGGCATATGACTTTTGGCAAGGCCTTTGATATGGTATCTCATCCCATTCTCATAAATAAATTAAGAGGCTGTGACATAAATATCTACACAGTCCAGCGGGTGGCAAATTGGCTTAGCGGTCGCACCCAGAGAGTGGTAATAGATGGGTCGGTATCGACCTGGAAGGATGTGGGTAGTGGGGTCCCACAGAGCTCAGTTCTTGGACCTGTACTCTTCAATATCTTCATCAGTGACTTGGATGTGGGTGTGAAGCGTACTCTGTCGAAGTTTGCACACGATACTAAATAGTTGGGTGAAGCGCA